TGACACCAAAGTATCAAACCGAACCGTGAATTTTGTGTATCGTTGCACCCCTAGTAAGCAGGTTACCGTCATCATGCTGGGCTTGCAAAACTCTGCATGAGTGACATGAAGGTTGCTAAGGTGACGGTAGACAGGAATATGGGTCCAGGAGATGGATTACAGAAAATAAACAGGATGGGGCGATGACAGTTTCTTTTTCATAACAGTGAATACGAGAATGTGCTTCGTAGTTTCTGTAACGTTTCATCGAAATGGTGCAAAAATTCATAAAGAATTTTGTTTTGGTTAAGTGTATGTTGTGATCTTTGCTCATGGCAACTAAATGTAAGCTGAAAAGGTGAAATTATGTGTTAAAATGACGGCGTGTCTGTGATTGGAGAGTGGAAGGAAAAACAGAAAACACCGGCCACATTACTGCTCCTCATCAGGGGCTTGACAAGTCCGCATGACAGCTGATGCCGCCATAGCGATGGCTGAAAGCTGGCAGTGTTTCCATCACGTTGCCCCAATGCACACTTACATAAAGCCACAGGCGCCACAACAGCATCAGAAGTGACACAGGGCCACACAATGACGGCAGAGTAAGACACGCCTGGACGATTCTTTCTTTAGCTTGCTGAGTGTTGTGTTTTCCATCGTCTTACCTCATTTACTACCTAAATTAAGACACAGGTGGTAACGCATCTGCACGGCCTTAAGCTGCCTTGACCGAAACGTGACCGTTTTGCAACATACTGCATAGAGTGACTTCAACTGCTGGACGGTGCAAGAACAGACCATAATGAAAAAACACTTTTGTCTCAAGGGACAAAATTCAAAAATTTTTGTGACTGGCTTTAAAATATAAACAGTTTAATCCAGAACTTTGGCAGTCTTGTAATAACATCATACCAACTGGAACAAAAAAAAGCAAAAGCATTCCTGCTTTGTCAGACACACACACCCCGAAACCCAGGAAACCAAATACAGGCAAATAAACTGAGCGAGAAAAGCTAACAAGGTCTGTGAGAATTAAAAGAAGGTCACAGTGAACGACTGGCCTGTAACTGAAACACTTTACATGAAGTGTCTATTTATCATTTCGTCCTCGTGTTTTTGTCATATTCATTAAAAACAGTATTTTTGAATGCTATTTCCAGTTGAATAAAATCAAGATAAGATCAGAAAACACACAGAAAAAAGAGGAATGGGCTAAAACGTGGAAAATGCAAGTGTAAGAGAAACACCTGAATAAAGTGCAATTCACCTTTAAAGAGTTCAAAATCTAAGAAACAAATTCCTAAATCTAACAAATCCACTGAAGCGCTTCATTATTGTTATTTTCTTTCTTTTTAATGCCTTTTTTGTAA